CCCATTGCTTCATGAACTTTTCGACTTAACCTGATCACATCAGTCCCTCCCTCACTTTCCCGAAACTCCACACACCAGCCCTGGAGTCCGGCTGTAGCTGTGATATGTTGACTTTAATAAGAACAAGCGTTTGATGCAATATCAACTGGCTGACATGCGACAAGCCCTTACAGAGGAAGGTTTCCATGAAAACGATGTCGAAATGAAAAAAAAACAGCGAACCCCGACGATATTTGCCAATGTACTCTTACTCTAATTGATCAAGGGGGTACAGAGAACCTCGCCTTTCTTCAAGAATCTCGACTTCTTTCAAGAAAGCGCACCGCAAATGCTTCGGTTTAAAATAAATGAAAAACAGCACAATGCTGTTTTCGCGAGCTGTGTCTGCTGCCATAGCCGCCATTGCCTAACAAACAGGCGCTTGTGATGGTAATCCCGTCCATATTTTGTTCATGACGACAACAAATATATATTTTTTACCGTGCATATTATTTATTTTCTGATAAACGGTGGTAGCAATAGCTTTTATCAAACTGACAAAGAACAGATGAAATTTGTTTAGTAACGCACTGGTGATACAACAACTGTCAGGTAAGCTGAATTATAAGCTATTTGAAACACAGAATTCGTAGAACAATCGGTGAAAGGCTCAAGAGGTGTTTGAGTTAAACTCGTCTCTTTTGCCCTCATAGTGTATATTGTAATAGCATTTGAAGACATAAACATAAAACACAAATATGCTTGTTTTCCCGAAGCATGCAGCGATTATAACCGGAGTGTAAAAAACAATTCAAAATGCCCTCGCCTCGGATGACAGGTCCTAATCTATAATACAATTCAAGTTAAAAAACAACAACTGGACAGCATCGTGTATGAACCATCACCAGTAGCTGACGCAGGTGGGTGCTTAGACAAAAAACGCCATTCAGTAGTAAATATAGAGACTCGAAGCCAACCTATGCAACATCGCTTTACGAAAGTAGTCAAAGTCGTGCAAAATAAGGAAGAAGCAAAAATATAGGACAAGATTTAAGACTGTACTAAGAAGACAGACGATGCTGAAGCGAAACATCTGAAACACAGAAGCAGTAGAAAAGTTTTTTATAAAGTTTGAGCAACGAAGCCCCCGGCAGTTTTCCTTTAATTCCATCAACAATTGACAAATTTCCTAGTGCTGATAAAGTCTGACGCTTAAACGAGCGCATTCAGTGCCCAATATCAGATTCCCCTCGTAAAAGTATTTTGTTCAGAATGAAAACGACATTAGAAAGATATTTTCGACATGCCGCGCGGGTCAATTCACAAGGGGGCGGTGCGCAGCGATCCACGCAGAATAAGCGCACAGTTCAGCAGAGCTCAGCTTTCCAGACCATCACGCACTGAAATGTGTCAAAGAATCAAACTTTTTTTCAAAACATATCCGATTTTCCAATTATTTAAAGAAGTGCTAATGAGCATGACACAGTGGCACTGTTTTCATGCTGAAAGCCCAGTCAATGGGACAACCAACTTCTCTACGACCTGTTCACTCGTTTCGATAGTACTAGCATGTGCCATGGGATCAAGCCCACCACCCGTTTGCTTTTAAGCAACCCCCGAAAGAAGTTACCGACAACCCTGCAGGAGGCAGGCTGCTGTGGATACTTGCTAATACTCGGACTATTTCCTAGTGTCTCCGTCCCTTACTGAAGCAGAAAGCGCAGGAAGCGGACCAGTTTTGACGATTTAAGAACATAAAATTTTATGAATTCTGATGACCGGAATATGTTGCTCGCTGTGCTGACAACCGCCCAACACCGCACACATCAATGAGCAGCACCTGAGGGGAAGAAAAGAATATTTGGGTGGGTTTCAACGAGACAGCAAGCATAACGAAGCAGAGGCCGATGATAACATGTTAGAGAGAGCGTGCACAAATTAGAACGGCCAGGCATCGCTAGGCCCGGTGTGCAAGGAAAAAGAAGTACATCCCCGTAACACAGGGAGTGACTCTCTATACCCCACTGTCTGGCCAATCCCCGTTGATTTAAATACAACGCATTTCCAATACAGATCTAATACGATACAGCAGTGGCGCACACATTCAGGAATAATACATACTCTGTTGTTGTTGCTGCTGTTGCATGAGGTTGTGTGAGTGAACAA